AGAGACCTAGTAATTAGTTTTAATTGGATATTAATTACCGAATTTGCATAATGTTCCACTGATATATAAAGAACCACAAATTGGATTTTAATGAAACTTTTAAAGAGAACTATGCAGAAACCCAATTAGTTTTTGGTAAATATTTATGCTTATTAATCACCTAATTAACATAATTAATTAACACTGATATCTCAATTACTGATCATCACATTTGAATAAAATTTGGTACATAAATGCTCTAGGACAATAGACAGGCCTAATTAATTTTGGGTTAAAATTTGTTCATATTAATTCTCTAATTAGCATAATAATTCATAATTTTTTTGTTCTGTTCTGTTCTGTTCATATTACCGGTAGTTACCTGATGTATATAATTAGTTTACAGCTTTTCCATCACTATCTCATGTACAAGTAATTTTTAATTAATTTTTAATGTGTCTTCAATACTCTCAGCACACGGGAGTTCTTTCTAAGCTTTCTTTGATTTTGATGTTGTCCCTAATTAGTTTTAGGTTTATATACATCCATAATAATTACCTAATCTGCATGGTAATTTACTTTTCAGCTTTCCATCAAATTTGTAAGAATTAATTATCACATAATAATGAAACTTGGTACATGTGTGCCCAGGAACACTACACAGGCCTAATTAGTTCAGGGTTGAAATCTGTGCATAATGATAGCTTAATTTGCATAATAATACCCAATTTTTTCAATAATCAATTATTGCATTTCGATCAAACTTGGTAAATATGTGCTTTGAAACAATGCATTGGTTCCAGACGTTCCAGGAGCATCCAACAAGCGATCTTACACATTCAAACCATTAGATAATTCTAATGTAGTTGTTTCTATCAATTTTAAATGTCATTAACGAAAGCTGTCCGGGTGTGCTCTCCCTCCCTCCCTCCCTTAATTTTCATCTTCCCCTTTGTCCATTGCATGTGGTGCGTGCATCCTACTACCGAACGTTTTTTGTCGAACAGCTTCTGCACTCGCACACGGAAAGTGACAAAATGATGGGTAAAGAGAACGGATCTCCTACTCGCCGACTGAGGGATAATAGGCTTCGGGAACTTCGAGAGTTGTATAGTGGCTCGTTGTAAACTACCAGCTACATGAACAAAAATATAAATACCCACCAAAACGCGCAAACATCTCTCCATCCTCGAAACATAATAGATTTCAACCGCTTTGCTGTATGCAGAGAATCAAATAAAGCTGCTTTCCAAAATGCAGAAAATCTCCCCGCCCACTCGATAAACCATGCACACTCAAACAGCTGTTTACACGATGTTCCATTGTGATAAATGTTGTCACGGTTACATGCTATCTTATTCGCATTAATTATTTCAATTTGTCGATGTAGTTAATTTTCGTTATCGGAAACAGTCGTAAATCTACGTACTGCTAAAGAATAATCCGAATCGACCGGTAAATAATAATGCATAACTAGCTTTTGCTGTTTACGTTTTTCACATACTCCGATGTCAGTAATGTTGTCATTAAATTGTATTATGAATGTATATTGGATTATATTGATATTCCGCTCTAATCCCGTACTATTAGTGTATTATGCCGCAACTCCGACATGTACGTCACTCGTAAGTCTATGTATCACGGCCCCAATCAGTTGTGCCCACACCTGGTTCTCACACATGTTGACAAGACATTCTACAACGAAAATAAGCGAAAACAATGTTTCTGAAAATACGCACATTGGAAACTTGCAACACCATCGTGCTGAAGAGCTGAGAACTGTGAGAGGATACCGAACTTTAAATCATGGGAGGAGGCGGTAACTGGATGAGTGTTACATACTATGCATTTTTGTTCTATCTGTACATATTCTATCATACATGTAAAAGATGTAACATAAATTCTCCTGATAAGAAGCATTTTATATGTCTTTCCTTTAAAAGTGGAAGAAAAAGATTTTTTGAAGATTGTGATCTCAAGTCTATTTTACCAGATGAAATCCCCTGATTACAAGTTGCGAGAATAGTGAAGTTATTATTTTGATATTTCTTCATTTAGTCTTTATTTTTTTTTAAGTTTTATTAATGTTTGTTTTTATTATATTTGTTTAAGTCTTGTTATTTTCTTACCTTACTAAATCCTCTGATGGTTTAGTTGTGTGTAAAGTTATTATATTCATTTTTTTCTTGAATGTGCCAACTTGCATGCATTGTTCTTGGTATCTAGCTTGCAAATTTCTGCTCAGCAAATCTTTGAGCCACTTCCATGAGTTCAAATGGTCTATTCCTAAGTAAAGTGAAAATGAAGTGGTAACAGTTTTCCTACCGACACATTGTAACGAGCTATTACATTTATTGACGAAGGCGCGGATCGACAGCGTAACGATTTTCAGTGTGAACGTACTCTGTATGACATGAACACCTCAGTTGGCACATGGAGCTTTAGCTCCACGGTTGGCAAAAGAGCATCCAGTGGGAACACGTAGTTATATTGTTGATCACATTGCCATGGTAATCATTCTAGACCTTTGACTTTTGACCGTAAGCGGGTTGTTATTTTTATCGATCGGCGTGTGCATTTATTTTACCTGGCAGGTAAGCGATACCCCCAGCATCACTGATCGATGTCGATACTTCTAAGTTCTATGATTTCAGTCGTCACTGCTGTTAATTAGGTAAATATATTAGTCATGTATGTCTTTTTACATTTTTGACTGTTGAACAATCAAGACAATGGTTTCTTTCATGTCTTTTTTAGACTAGTAATGGCTGGCAAATGGTATACACCCACGTAGTCCTGAACATAGCTGTGTAGTTTATTTCGCTGTAATTAGTTTTCCTCTTCTTTCAAAATGCAGCTAACATTAAGTCTACAAACTGATAATTCTGTGAAAACATGTAATAAATACGATATTTACTACTGTAAAGGGGGTAATTATTCACTGGGTTTTAATTTAGCTTATTTCGCTGACTGGAAAATGCGCTAATTTAAAACCCAGTGAATATGTAAAATTTAGCATAGAACACATTATCTAAATGACGAAACCGTGAATTTAAAACCCACTGAATATGCCTGAAATGGTAAATCAGTGAAATTTAATCCCAGTGAAAATTAGTCATTTTACAGTATATGTGTTTCATTCAGTCCTCTTATCACATTTTGAGTTATCATTGCTATGCGTTATATGTTTTCGCATCGCTGTCCACATTCTGTCATTATGTGTAATTAAAGAGGTTCAGGCAAAATTAAACATTAATTTGCACATTTTTTTTTACGTTGGACATTTTTAAAGACCCTGAAACCGTGACGTCATGAAAAAAATGTTTAAAAAAAGCATTTTATTTTAGTTATTGCATTAGATTCCATAGTGAAAGTATTTCTTGAAACTTTGCTTGCTGACATTTGCTGAATAGTCAAATATTAATCCCAATGTTGCTGCAATTGTCCAAAAAAAATTGAAAAATATTCCAGTGTAATAATAATTCACCATTATATTCAAAGGGAAATTAATTACTCCCATGATGCATTGCACCTAATTCTCAGTAGTGCAAAAATTTAATTTAAAAAACACTACATCAGTAATTCATGTTTTTGACTTGATTATAACATGTACTCTAAGCGCAACGAAGGCATTCCCTTAATTTTTATAATTATTTATATATTGAAACTAAAACGTGAGGTTACTATTGGTCGATTGAATGGCTTTGGAATGTTTTCAAATGACATTGTTGATCACTTTGCTTTTTGATTGGCTGGTTAAATTCAATTGCAACTGAAATTTATAAATATTAGTAAAGATGAAGGGAATGCCTTTGTTGCGCTGAGTGTACATTATATTTCACTATAGTCATGACTACTCTATACGAGACAGTTATGCAAGAACTATATACCACCCAATTAATCATAGTAGCCAAGACAGAACTCAGAACTGTGATCTGCATATCTGACCCTAGTTTCAATATAGTATTGATTATACATTAATTATACATATAATAGTACACATGATTAGAACCATATAATCTGTATAGGTAATACAGTGTTGCAGGGGGTATATTTATATAGATACAGCTTTTTCTATCTGTAGATTAGCCATAACATGGAATCCGAGATTCCAGCAAATTCTGCCCAACAGCAACTCATGTCTGTTCGCATTCCGGGACAATCAACACAGAAACTGAAGAAATTTTATGATGAATGGAGTGAGGACTATGACAAGGTAAATATTTATTCTATACACACAACATTGCCATCAAATTCTGACACCTTTCACACTCAAAAATGTAAATGTTTAGATGTAATTAAAGATTCACATATGTACATAACAATGTCAAAGCCATCATACTAGTATTTTTCGTCAAGTCAACAATATCATTTTTCACCAAATTGAACAAAACAAAATTCACTGAAAATATAGAATTTAAGATGTTATCACAAAATGACAAATAATCTGACAAAGGTCCACCCAAAGTATCAAAGCAATTGACGAGGTAGTTTTCAAGAAACAGTCAAAAATGTAATTGTAGAGAAGATAATCCTTTATATGTATTAACAGCTCCATTCTGTCATCTTTGATGACAGCAGAACTAGAAATTGTACTTAATAAATCTACATGTATTAACAGCTCCGTTCTGTCATCTTTGATGACAGCAGAACTAGAAATTGTACTTAATTAATCTACATGTATTAACAGCTCCGTTCTGTCATCTTTGATGACAGCAGAACCAGAAATTGTACTTGATTAATCAAGGTAATTCTTGACAAAGTTTGCAATGCCTCTGACAGTGTACCCAAGTAATTTCTTCACAGCAATGAAATTTTTTTTTTTTTATTAGCTGTAGGCTTTCTATTCCTCCATAGATATCTAATAACAATGCCTGTTAAATTCTGCTATGTTTCAGCATTTACAATCACTTGAGTGGAACTCGCCTACATTTGCAGTTGATGCACTGTCCAAGTATTTACCGGATAAGCATGCTAGAATTTTAGACTGTGCTTCTGGTACGGGCATAGTTGGTGTTAAGGTAATGACTATATGTATATTGTTGTGTTGATGTTGTGTTTATTAAACTAAACATATGTTTGTATTATTATTATTATTATTATTCATACTTATATCAAACCATATATTTTGTTATATATTATTTTTAATAATATTTGGATCTTCCACTATCATTCATATTAGGTAGGTATAGTTAACATTTTGCAACTCCTTTTTTTCATTGACCTCTGATGACCTATAGTCATCTGTAATGCAAATAAGTAACTTGTTGTTGTAATCCCAATATTTTTTTGTTTTTATTTCTCAGTCTTTTTGTTGTATTTCTCAATCTTTTGTTTTGTTTTTCTCAATCTTTTTTTCCCCCAGATATTGTTTTATTCCATATCTTATTGTTGTATTTCCATATCTTATTGTTGTATTTTTATATTTTATTGTTGTATTTCAATATCTTATTATTGTATCCAAACCCATATTTTTGTGTTGCAATATCTTATTGTTCTATTTTCATATTTTCGTTTATTGTTCTATTCATTACTCAATTACACTAAATTCATTATTTTCACAGCTTACAGAACTTGGATATCGAGATATTGAAGGTGTTGACCTTTCTGAAAAATGTCTAAACAAAGCCAGAGAAAAATGTGTTTATAAAACTTTAAGATGTGCAAAGTTGGATTCCGAACCTCTAGATGGAATTGAACAAGGTGAAATGTTAGCATGTTCTATTACAAAATAAATTCATAGTATGTGTATTAATTTCTGTAATTTGATACACCATTATTTATAAATCAAAATTAGATTACTTAATGATCATTAACAGATGTATACAGGGAATGTACATTGTTTGTTCAGTTTATGCCATATAGGTATCATCAAGGTCACATAATGTGTTCATATGACTTTGTATGGATATGAAATTTATATTAAGAGTACTACATGTGTCTGTTACTACATGCGTCTGTTACTACATGTGTCTGTTGCTACATGTGTCTGTTAATACATGCGTCTGTTGCTACATGTGTCTGTTACTACATGCGTCTGTTACTACATGTGTCTGTTGCCACACAGGTGATACTACCGGTAATGAACACATTTTGGTAGTTAATTGTTTAATTTGTTTACATTACTAGATACATATGATGCAATAGTCTGTTCTGGTGGCTTTCTCACAAATCACCTTGATGACAACTGTCTAAAAGAATGGAGTCGTATCGTCAGATCAGGTGATATGCAGTTATAATCTTCAATTCCCAATTTCTTTCTTTAATCCCTTCTCACAAGTACCTTGCATTTGTTTTTATGGAATCCATCAGAATTCTTCAACTTTTCAAGACTGTTGCAATGCATTGATGTACAATAAGATTATGATACTAAAAAATGCCCTAAGACAGTGTGTGATAGAAACTGCATAATTTGCAGTACCTTCACAAAAGCTAAATATAATGATCTCTCATGGTTTATTTTTTTGTTAAAGGTTTTTTACTCTCATGAGAAAAATTGTCTCACAAAAATGTAAGAAAAAAGTGATGAATAAAATTCAAGCATAATAAGCATTTGAGTGAACTGTCTCCACTTACTATAAGGGGAACAATATACTTCATTTCTGTCTGTATTTTCACATGAATGGGTAATTAATTATCTAATACTTTCTAAACTGATAAAACAGTTCCACCCCATGTATTTAATTCCTTGTGAGAATACTACAAATACAAGTGTAGCTCAGTTTACAGCAATAGGGGACCTGTTACAAAAATCAAACAATTTGATTTTGACTTTCATATATATCTCAAAGCCAAAATGTTTTGAGAGGGGTATATTACATTGAGATACCCTTACCTTGAAATACCTAAAATTGACTCAAAATTAATTTTGAAGCACAGAAATATTTTTGCATTTGTCAAATCCCCTACAATGTTCTTGTGCTGTGCTGTTTCACTACAACGCTATGATTGCTTTGTCCTGTTTTTAAGTTCAATTTCATGCATAATCTCGCAGTGTGCGAAAAAGGGTCTATTAAAAAAACTCAACACCAAGTTTTTGCTGATTTCAGATGGAGTTATCTGTATTACTGTCAATGCAGACTGCCTGTATTTAGTTGAAGGACCCACATTGGACAATTTAGTATCTGATGGAAGATTGCAAGTGGTAGAAAAACGCAAAACAACAAATCATATTGGAAAAGAATTTGGTTATGTCATCGTTCTAAAAGTACTTTAAAAATGGAATTCAGTAAATTTACATCACAAGTAAAATTGGTAACTGTTGCTCAAATCATAGCAATAAACTAAACTACAGATAAACTGCTGTATTAGATTAAATAACATTCATTCAATCATACTAAATACATGTACATGTGTATGCAAATAGTTTGGTAAGAGGTTGTAACGGGATGTTTTACAAGATGTCTCAAGTTTCTAATGCAATATTTACTAAGGAACTACCGTATAGTATACAATCATTTATGAGCTGCCAATATTTGTGGGAGGGGGCATTAATGATATATATAATATACAGGGTTCAAATTTTATTGTGATCTGCTGTGCTGGTAAATGTTATAAGTTTGTAGTCCCATGGTAGTATTGGGTTGTCTTTAAATACTGAATGTGAATACTGAATGTGAATACTGAGTGTGAATACTGAGTGTGAATACTGAGTGTGAATACTGAGTGTGAATACTGAGTGTGAATACTGAATGTGAATACTGAGTGTGAATACTGAGTGTGAATACATATAAATGTTAATATATTCTTCAATTTGTGTAAAACACCCATAGATTCACTGAACAAAGTATTAGTATTTTGGAAATCACTAGTATCTCAGTTAGGGTTTCTTGAGCTACTAATAGTTTTTAACTTTGAATATTATCTGTGTGTGAGTGTGTGTAGTGAATGACTGACTGATCAATGATGAGTGCTAGGTTTGAAATCAAATTTTAAGTTTTGTCTTTTGTTTTTGACATTTTTCATTTCCAAAATAGCTGTCATTACATGCATGTTTATCAACTCATGTGCTTTATGGAATTCTCAATTTCTTAAATAAAGTATTTTTCTTTCAAAGTTGCTAACCAATTATAAAATATCCTATGTTGATTAGGAATAAAATTCATTCAGAAATTGTGCACTGGCATTTTAATGACACTTGTATGTGTGTGTATTCACTACAAGTCATTGGCTGTTTTTACTATGAGGTTGATATTATTTGTTCGTAAGAGCTGCTTGATACCAGTGATAGTTGTTTTATCACATGACTAACTCAAAAATGTTATGATACTTAACTCATGAATCATATTTGTTGTTATGACTGTCAAAGATTTTGATATTCCTGCTGAGGGTTAATGTTGTGTGGTAGTTAAGAGCACTATTACCGGTAATGTTAACAGGTGCTCCAATTATTACAATTTTAAAAGACATTTTTCGTAGTGGCAATACCCAGTAATCAAATCCTAATTCAGATTAGCGAAGTAGGTGATTGGAGAAGAAATGCAATAACTGTGATTCATGGTTATCTATACATCACACACTGACATAGATGTACACTAAATGAAAGAGTGAAAGAAACAAACACATGGGTAAAAAGATTCACTAGGTATTAACCATATAAGGCATTTTAATTCACAAAATGACTACTTGACATTATTGTAATCACTGTTTTTTCTTCTTTTGAGGAGCTTTTTTGGCAATTTTATCTTGATTTTGCGTATTGCTTAAAAAAAATTCTGGATAATAAACACAGCGCAATGCCAGTACTTGTGGTATAATAAGGAGAGCTAGATTGATAATCCAGAAGACCAGTCTGGTATCCATGGGTACCCTTAATTCAGCTGCAGTACGGTCATGAAATGAACAACCAATATGTGTGAATTGTGCCTGCAATAAAACATATCAGTGACAATAATAACTGTATGTAAGTATTATTTACCTAATATTTTGGTTACCTCACTAGGGATAATTTAGATGGCAAATCTAGAACATCAAAACTAAATGAAAATCTGCTTCCAATTTTAGCCAGCCACAGTTTCAATTTCAGTTTCAACCATCTATTAAGAACAAAATGACATGTTTAACTATTTTTTATAATAAAAATGGCCAACAGATGGCCATATTGAATAATACCACACAAGTGGCTCACAGTATATTCCATGTTGACTTTCCTGTGTATAGAATGAATCATTCTATCCCAGAGTAACCCACATGGCCGCAAGTTTTTGAAAATAACTACAAATTTGTGTGCATAGTTAAAAATATTAATTGTATTCTCAGACCAGAATCTAAAGCAGCATTGCTTAAAGCAATGTATCAGATATCTTTCAGTATGATGTATTTTCAGTACATAATATGATGCATTTTTTGCATTGCAACAGATTTGCAATTTCATCTATATTCAGATGATTTCACCACAAATATGAATTCAATGTTCCTACAAGCACTCTGGTACATTTCAAATAAGATTCTATAACCCTAAGGCATCGATATACAGCAAGAACCAGCAGTTTTGAAAAATTATCCCAGATAAAGGGTTGAAAATCACAAACAAGGCACTTACTGATGGTATATCCACACAACTTATTGGACCTATATGGTCACTGAACTAAAGAAGATATTTGTAGTTTTCATCACTATGTACTCCATCCAAAGTATATTCACACCATAAATCGCATAGAAATGTTCTGTGATTATTTTAGAATTGTATCTACAGATGGTCACTGTACCCAGCAGGTAACAAGATTGATACCAGTAACATATAAACAATGAATATATTGCCCTGAATGACACACATACTAACCTGTGCTGCAGCGCCTGCATGGATTATTGACCAGTCTATCATCCACTGCTTACCAGGATAAATTAGACTGTACACTGCCATGATGTAGTAGGGTACAAAGTAAAATAAATACACAAGCATCTGGAAAAAAATATCAAGTAAAAGTCCATTCAACTGATTCAGGATAGAATGTGTTGGCAGAATGTTGGCTAAGTGCCAGGAAGTCCATTGGAGTGATCCAGGATAGAATGTGTTAGCAGAATGTTGGCTAAGTGCCAGGAAGTCCATTGGAGTGATCCAGGATAGAATGTGTTAGCAGAATGTTGGCCAAGTGCCAGGGAGTCCATTGGACTGATCCAGGTTAGAATGTGTTGGCAGAATGTTGGCCAAGTGCCAGGAAGTCCATTGGAGTGATCCAGGATAGAATGTGTTAGCAGAATGTTGGCCAAGTGCCAGGAAGTTCATTGGAGTGATCCAGGTTAGAATGTGTTGGCAGAATGTTGGCCAAGTACCAGGGAGTCCATTGGAGTGATCCAGGGTAGAATGTGTTGTCAGAATGTTGGCCAAGTACCAGGGAGTCCATTGGAGTGATCCAGGATATATGGCATTTATTATAAAGTACATACAAAATACAAATAAATATTATTGTGTCTTACCTGTAGTTTAGGATAAATGACATCATCAGTGAGATATGGTTCATAGCGCTGCAGATATACTTGTGTTGTAGTCATTGGACTGTCCAGTGCAGCCTGATGGGAAGGAAACACATGCAATTATAGATACAACAGCTAAGAAAAATTGATCCTTCCTAGTCACTAATGAAGCAAGACAAAGACAATAAAATTTGACATTACGCTATTAAAGCTAAATCTATTCTTTGCACTGGTAATCACTAAAATTTGCTTGAAGATTTGAAAAAAAGCAATATCAATATAAAAGTATGCATTCTATCTATGGATACATAGACAAAGTACACATAAACTAGCATTGATAAATCTAATGTCCAACATCTAATGATACGCCATGTAATGAATTCAATGAATACCATCACATCCCCCCCAACATGCACCATCTGTTTCACCTACATCACTCAATGAAATGCTAGACAGAAGTGGGTAGTAAGTGGAAAGAATTAAGACCTTCTTGTAGCTACATGCGTTTAACTATGAATGTCCCAGGATACACCAGGATATGGCTTGCCAGAATTTGCTCCATGTTTTTTATTCTTGTTGAATATGACTCACCATACACACATTTATATACTCTTTATTGAGGCATGAAACTTAAATCACAAATGTTGTAAGGAGACAACATATTTTGGGTTTGAAAATTGATTACATGCAGAGGTACAATGTACACAGTTTTCAGAAATTAACAGACCAGTGATGATTGTGGTGTAAATATAAATGTATCAATTAACATGTGGGATGTGAAGATTGTGCAAATGATGGATATGCTGTATTAAATTAGTGGAATCCAGATTTATGTAGTGGCAGTGGAAAAATGGTCCTTGTACATTAAATTAGCTGTTTATCAATAATAATAATAATTTATTAATTGTATAATGGCCTCCGGCCCATTACAATCATGCAAATTAATTATTGACAAGAAATAAATTTACATTACAAAATATGTATGAAAATATAGATGAAGAGTGTGTCAATAGATAATATAAGCCCTATATAATAATGTGATGGGGATATTTATATATATATATATACATACAAGCTTATTGGAAAAATGGTCCTTGTACATTAAATTAGCTGTTTATCAATGGTCAAATACAAAGCAATGTTTTATTGCACTTTTTTATGTGCAATTTGCATTACACCTTGGATCACTATGTATTTTTGTATTTGTATTTATTTATTACACAGAAAAAGAAAATATACATAACACAATTAATTTTTCCTTTTTACCACTGCAAAGGATTCTGGTGTGGGTCATGGAAATAGCTCATTTGAGCTAGTCGAGTCCTTGACCCGGAATAAAAAATAATATTGTACTGACGTGCGAATTATCGTAAAATTATCATATACATATATTTTTATCTTGATATAGTCAAAATTATAGTTCAATTACTAAATATCAAAATTAAATAAATAAGTCATTGAAATTGCTGAGTGAATATGAACATTATTTTGTCGCATAATAAACAAATCACTAAATTTAATAAATCATTTTCCACAAAAATAAACTAATCACTAAACTGCAAAATCAAGCAAACAATCAGTCTGTCGATCAAACAAATATCATAAGGTAATCATATATATGTATATGCGATTTTTAGGCTCTATCCTGATATGGTGAACAATCATAATTCAATTGAATAAATAAGTCACTTAATTGCAAAATAAATAGATTAATATTTTTCTAATCGTAAAACAATCAACCACATTGTACAAACTATCAGTCTATCAGTTAATCATTCAGTCTGTAGTTGTCAACCAATAGTCGTATAATAAATGATAGCCTATGATATTGAGTTAAGATTATAAAATCATGGACACATCATGTACTAAGTCTGTAAAGTTTGAAAAAATATTAAAATAACAATTCGCAGATCCAAAGATCGATCATTATTTTGTTCAGTAACTAAAAAATCAAAAACATATACATTTGTAATTTGGAGAAAGTCGTAATTGCAATTAAAATATTTTCCTACCATAACTCAGTGACACAATTACTTACCATACCACGAACACTAGCTACAGCTATAGCAAACAGAAGAGATACAATTAAAAGTATGTCAAGTGGTCTCCACAATAAAGATTTCTTTTGGCTTTTGGCAACCTAGAAAATGAGGAACAAAAGAAAAAGATTTGTTGGCATTAAAACCCAAAAGTGTAGCTGCCAGGATTACACACAAACATGTCAATCCCCTCCACAATTTGCAATGTAACTCACCCAAATTGGTAGAATGGGAAGTTCAAGGTTTGTAAACCCACTTATCTGAAAATTATCTGACATTGGCCAGAATAGTTAAATTTAGGTAAAGTCAAGTACTGTAAATGCGTTAATCATTTGCTGGTTTTAATTTTGTTATTTTTGTTGATAAGTGAAATTTGCTAAATTCCATGTGTAGAATAACAATAGAACTCATTGTCAGCAAAATTGCTCAAAATAGTGAAATTAAATGTCAAATTAAAGTAAAAGATCATTTGTGAATCAAATCATCTAAATAGGCAAAATTTGTATGTCTTCTAATATCAGGACTTTTACTGGTCATTCTGATGCCATATTACCGAGAGTTGTTGATAGTAGTAATTTTATATCTGTCACTACGGTAATCATTCTGAATTACACATCTGTTTTGGGGTAACTTTAATGCTATACTGGTATGGCATTTTCCAAATATGATAGCACATATGATTACATATATTTAAGTTTCAATATTTGCCCTACTATGAATAACAGATAGGATGATAACAGATAATTCTCAAATAAAATGTTGTCCAAGATCCTTCAACGTATAGCCATGTGACAAACTACATATTGCTCAACACTGAGGCTAGTTCAAAAAAAATCACAGAAAAATCACTAATTATTTACATACCTTGTCCTGTGGAGTGTTAAGTTTTCTTTTTGATGAGAGTAATCTATGTAGCATCATGAGTGGAATGATAACATATGGCGTATTTAGGAAGTATGAAGCCTTCACGTTTCGTCCATTCTTTCCAATGAGATTACCCGGCATAAAGACTACCATACTGTTAATGATAGAACCTGCCCAATACAGACCAATGTCACGATAACTTACACTAAAAGAAAATATATAACAAGTAGGTACTGATGTTTTAAAGGAAATTGATATAATGTCCCTATGTCAAGTGTCAATGGTGCTAAAATACTAAAAAAAAAATTAATCATTTCATCAACTGAGGGCGCTGTGCAGAGAGTAAAATAAATAAAAATGAAATATTCTTATAGACCATACCTTAAATTACATATTTTCTACATCTGTCATGTAAATCTGTTATGTAATAGATACTCACTGCCAGGACATAGCTGCTGCCATGGATAAATACATTATATAATGACCTGTACCATCCCAGTAGTTAATGAAGGTACCATGTGCTGAATTCAAGTAAGGTTCTCCCTGAAAAACAACAGCAGCCACAAATATAATAATGACTAAATACTGGTACTGTGGCATCAATCATCCCGAATTCTGGTTAATTGAAGAGAGTAATAGTGTCAACAAATTTTAGAATAAATCAGTTGTCATTTTAACATACAGTATTTTCTAGATGTTCAAGTTCAATGTACCTCCTTCAGATAGAATGTCATAAATCCATCCATTACTCCATCTAATTCCAAAGCAATTATAAAATCTACCACACAAGTGAAGGAAAATACTCCGCACACTGAAATAAAATGACTATAGCCATAACATATGTATTGAAAACATATTAAAACATAGCTGTAGAGACTGGGGACATATTATTGATGTGTCATTACCATTTAGCCTCATTTATGATAAGAGTTATTGATCTTTATTTTAGATTAATACTGTGAAATAATTTATTTTCACTGGAATTAATTTTTCGCTGAAAAGACTTTTTTGGTATTTTGTGTGGAATTTATTTTCACTGATTTTGGCCGAGTTGAATGTAAAATATAGGAAAAAAGGTATATTCGCAGGATTTTATTTTCACTAAATCATTCCTTCAGCAAAAATTAATCATAAGCGCAAATAAGGTATTTTACAGTATATTTATCAGTATAGACCCCTATTAATACTAAATATTGAATTGAAAAAAAAAAATTAATAACTTATTCGAGTTGGCAAAGCTGTCAACGAAATAGTGATCAAGATTGCTAACCTGTAAAATGTAATGAACCAGGTAAAATAACATTGTGAACTACTGAGTGATGTGTAACGACACGTTTAGTTTATTCCATCAGCACTAGTAAATTTACTGGGAGCCTGATATTGTTTTGTAAAGTTTATTTTTGACAGAGTTATCATAGCCTTCGTGGCATGTCGAATATTAATATTGAAATGTGACTTCAACATTATGCTCATATTTGGGAATACATGTATACGAATAATAAAAAGTTGGCTCAAACTCCATATCAATATCACAGTCCCCATTGTCAAAATGCATAAATGCCCCTCAAATACATTTTCAAATTATATTGATCAAACGCTTACCGTAAAAAAACTTATCCCTCGGTGGTCGTTTTTGCAATTTCCCAATTAAGTATGCCCCTGTGGTCATAGCCAGGAGAACGACCACTCCGCAAACAAACACGAGAAAGTGGTCTTTGCTAAAATGCATCAAATTCACGGTGTATGTGACGGGGATCGCTGTCAGCGACATGACGAAAACTGCGGCAGCTCCAGACATGGTTTTAACATCAATGGCTTTACTAAAATGAAAGAGTATAACGTTTAGATACAAAGTCCATTGATCATCCCATTTACCAGCTGGTAACTTTGTTATCATTGCACGTGTTAGTTCGAACATTAGGTCATCGGGTCAATCGATTTAAACCGGGTATACCCATAATGCATTTCAAAATACAAATGGCTTCTTAGGTGAGTAACGCACGTTTCTCGGAGGTGATTCAGTTAGTTATCTGTATAATTACTATATTTGGAGTGATCTGGTAAGTGATCCGTATAATTGCTGTTTTGGTTTGCATTGGAGTTCACATTGAGAGAGGTAAGTCGATATTTTGTCACTTTGGGAACCCTTCTTGCACGATCGAGAGAGGGGATAGCCATTTACTACGTTAGTTTATGCATTATGTCAGTGAGCGGTCTCCTCGAAGAGTACTACTCGTTATATGTGTTTCGCTGATGTTACGTCCTGGTAACATTGACATAGCAAGTTTATGAAAACCCGTGTCCCTCGGTATCATGGGTGCTTGATACCACAGCACATGCGCTCGGAA